TCAATCATCCCGTGTACCCTTCAATCTCTTTCCACAATATTCTGTCCGTCATCTCTTTGTGGTGAACTTAGCTGTGCTTTTGTCTCCATGGATACACGCAGCGGGAGTGGTGAACCATAACCACAAGCTTACTGTTGGCTTGTGTACAGATTTGAGTTGACTTGCAGTCGTTGGTCTCAACCTGGAATATTCCATCCGTGTTATTTGGAAACAATACATTTGGGAATAAACAAAAGGAGTTCCGATTGGGGAGGGGCATCATAAGCTAATTGATCTTTAAGAGTTTCGTGATTGTGCGAAGCTGGGAAATTGTCTTGATGAGCGTTAAAATGGAGTGCGTCGCTTGTTTCTCGTTGATTCGGTCTAAACCAGTTTGGCACAGCGCACGTGTAGACAAACAACCGTTCACATTCGTACCTACGATCAATTTACAACATACATAGGACAACCCGAGCAGAGATTTTAACCCAAATCCATCCACTTGGTGAATCAAATAAATGTAAATACTGGTATCCATCCCTAGTTATGTTACCTGATGCCAAAACAATCCTGCAGCTGCATCCTCAAATCTACAACGCTCCAAAGCGTTGTACAATTCAGAAACTGAGACGATTTGGGGGAAGAAATATATCCCCCAAAGTTGCATAAAAGTTTGAGCGTTGAACATCAGCATGCTAGCTTAGCTCAGCAGCGCTTTTCAGCAATGATCAAAGGAGTAGCTGTGAACGGTTTTTTTTGTGTGTGTTTGTTTGTTCCTTTGGCTTTTTGCGACACTTTTGCGACAGACCAGTTTTCAAAAATGGGTGCTGACAGTCAAGCAACTGCCCAACATGAGCTTCACGTGCTAGCTTGCAGCGCACTGACCGCCGATTGGCTGGTTGTCATAAAGTGGATATAAAAAGTCTACACATCCATGTTCATGTGCTAGGTTTTTGTGATATAAAGCAAAAAAAAAAAAAAAAAACCCCTCAAAAAACCCAAAAACGTCTATATGATGTCAATGCGTGTTTGGGGCAAAGAGGCGTACTAACTTCCGGTCTCCAGACAAACACAGTGGCAAACAATTAGCAGCCTCAAACTCTTCAAAGATTACCCACCCATTATTCCCTGCTGGAATTACGTAACGTTGCATTAAATGCCATAATAAGTTTCATATCTGCAGTTATCCAAATTTCAGTGCAAAGAATCCATATTTTATCAGTCATTCTCAGTTTCACAGTGCATGCAAATCTGTGTGTACTCAAGACTTGCAAGGCTTAATCATCTTTCTTTCCATCTCTTTTGTAATACCAGGTTCAACGTGTTAAAATAAAAAGCAGAGCTGAATCGCTGAACATAACAGGAAACGCTCTCCCTTTTATCTTTTCAAAAGTAACAACCGCGGATGAAATATCAGCATTGAAAAAGACCAACATCACAACTGTTGAAAATACCCTATCACACAACCTACGGTTATCACACATTGAAAGAATTTCCATCAGATGGCATCCCAGTAGCTTGAAACATACGGACAGCGGAAACTTGTACGGTACTTAACCTTTCCGCCGGAAATTCTTAATGCGTTGCCGCGCTTATGGTCTATTCTGAACGCAGCCACATCCCCACCAAAGAGGGTGTGCACTGTTGACTTGCGCAACAACAACATCTCTGTTGTTTATTTTACTTCAACTCTTGAAAACATCTTTTTTTTGGGGGGGGGGTTGTACATTAATGGTGAGAAAGTTGTGAAATGATTTATCTCGGTCTCCTTATGAACATCACAAAAAAAATATTCACACGACAACAACTGATTACATCCTTCGCCTTTTTGATGAAAGTTACAAGAGAGTCTTTTTGTCAGAATGGATTATTAGTCTACTTATTGATACAACTGCGTGTCCTTTGAGAAAGATATATATATATTTTTTCTCTACAGGCTGGATCAATACAAGAGTTCCCCGGTGGTCGTGATGTAATGCAAATCAATAACAACACATGTTCGGCCCTTAGAAATGTATGAAAACACATTCTGACACTTTCATGGTGCCTTTAACGCTTCTGGCCAGCGCTTGCCAGACAGCGTCAATCAAAACTAAATGTTATTCAAACTGACAGGACGAATATAGACACTGAATTCTGATGCAAGAAAGTGGTGACTCTTATGTTCCTCTTTTTCAAGCGAACTCAAACCAGCCAATGCCACTTTGATTGTAAAACAGTACACTATTCCTCTTTGTTGAATTGTGTCTTCAAGTTCCTTAAATTTAAAGAAAACGTGTGTTCAGGCAGAACCACTTTTTTTTTTTAACAAAGAATCCTGTATGTATTTCAGATGAAGTTGCTTGTAGATTTTTCTCATAAAATGTTAATATGTACTAAAATATTGCTGGGAATGAAATCTATGTGGTTCTCCCCTACCTGTAAGTATCAGCGGAACCATACATTTTCCACTTTGAGATATTTTTTTTATAGCCTTGATCTGAATTACATCAACTTCCTTTTTGCAGTTACTTTTCTTTCACGTGGTTCAGTGTGCAGTAAAGTGAGAAAAATTATCTAATTGCCATTTTCTCCCCCTAAAATATGGTGAATGAGATTGTATTTTATTTAAACAAGCACAAGCAATAAATCAATTATACAATAATTGTTTTGTCTTATACTAAAATACAGGCAGATAAACCATGAATTAATATGAAAGACAGTTTATGTATTTGAATTAGAGTTGGAAACATACACACAATTCTACTAAACAAGACTGATGTCAACATAAATCAGTAAGTCGTAAATCAGATTAGAATAATAATGCAAACAAATCTGTGGCTTGATCATTTCAACATTTCATATTGCATGAAAACAAGTAAAAATGTGGAGTGTGCTTCTTTCGGACTGAACTTATCTAGATATCAATAAATAATTGCAGCCCTTGCAATCTGAACAATGCAATGCTGATTTCAATGCGATGAATTGTTCAGCCCTAAAACTGTTCATGTTGTCCAAAGATGTCAACAGGTCAGGCTGTGGTATCAATGCCATAGTATCAGTGCATTTTTATAAAAAGTAGTGTACAGATTTACAGTGTTGGCATCCCTTGTGACATCAGTATTTATTATTCAAACACGGCTTCATCTCATCAGATGCCAAAGCTTTGTTTTTCCAAAAAAAACAAAAAACCAAAAAGCTAACATTACACAAATTCTGTCATGGTATGTACACAAGATCATATCGAACTGATTTGTCTCTGTCTGTTTGTGAATGGAGCTGCATTTGAAATATTGTCCAAGAAAACTCTTTTTCAACTCTGCTCTGACTGGCTTGAGCGCAATAATGGAAAACTCAGGCCACTCAATTGACTTGCCACTGACTAATAAAAGTCTGACTCGTCTAGCGTTAAAGGATAATGCGGTTAAATGCTGTGACTTCAACCTTCAATGCAAATGACAGCTGAAAACTTCAACGTTTTAGCCCGCCTGAGTCACTTTCACGGCGACCAGGTGGCCATTACTGGCACCCACAGAGCGGAACTAACTCAAGTGTGTGGACATGCACAACAACCGCTGCACATTCCGAGTCCAGAAAAAGTGTCTCGAAAGAGAGAGAGCGAGAGAGTGAGAGAGAGAGAGAGAGAAGTGGTCAACTTTGAAATGACCAGCTCTCTTCCTCCTTATGCCTCTTCCTGCCCGCAGAACTTCCGCCGCCGTTGTACACACTCACGTCTAATATCATGAAATGGGACAGCAGGTGGAAGGTCGGAACGTCCACCAACTTTTTTTATTAAGTTCATAAGAGATGTGACTTGTACTTCTTTCCTCTCGCTTTTCTGCCCCCGCCCCTCCCGTCGCCTCCCCTCCCCCTTCCCTTCCTCCTCCCTCCTCCTCCTCCCAACACGGTCACAACTTCCGCGAATAAGGGCCTGACGTCATCAGCGCGCGAGTGCGTGTGCGCGTGCGCAACGTACACCTGGTTGAACAGGCAGATTGCGTAATAGCAGAAATCCCATCGCGCACTTCATTGAAAATGCGAACAAGAGTTGCACAACACGGAAAAAAAGAAGACATTGAAAGTTTCCTTAGGGTCACCGCTGACTGAGCACATCTGCTTATCGTCATTGTTCATCTTGATTTTCAAATTGGCTGTGAATGGTGGCTTTTTCATCTTTTTTAAATCATTAATTTAGCGTAACCACGTTCAAAATTAGCACGGAAATCACCGCATGTAAACCCAAATATCCCAAATCTTTGAATCTATTTATTTTCAATTAAAACATACATGTTATGTATATAAAATACATACAGTATATAATCTATTTTGAAGGGGATTCTTAATAGATAAAAAGTTCAGTCGAACAATGACTATTTTGACGTTTAAAGGAATTGCAGTATATAGTGACAGCAAAAGTGGTCAAAGTCTTGAAAGATTGACTAATTCAAGTTTAAATTTAAAAAAATGATGATTTATTATGATAGATTATTGAAATTTGCAGTGTGGATACGCATATGGTTCATTTTATTTTTATCACGGTTAATTAAAATCCATAATGTATTTTTCCTGCAAATATTTATGATATTTCATCTTTCTTAATTTCAATTTTAATTTAAAAGTTCCATATTGAAGCCAGTTCGCTGAGGAATAACATGATCAAATTTCACATTGCATGCATTGCGCCATCCGCAGGCCTCGCAAATTACTCCAGACAGAACAATGAATATTTAGAAGGTCGAAATCGTGTCGTAGCGCCTCCGACCAAAAGAGGCGCTCAAGGTTAATCGAGTAAAATAAGCGCGAATGTCGTAGTCAATGTTCGAAACCAATCTGTCGTAACTGGGGATGGTCGAACGAAATGTTAATTAGTCACAAGTCAGAACTGTTGCAAATAGTCTTATGGTCGTCTTATATAATTATAATAATTTACAAGTCTTCGCTTCCATAGTCCTCACATGAACGGAAGACCGGACCTTTGTTGTTTACTTCCGCATTTCCACGCTAAGACCCGCCTTCGTCAATTTGATTGGCTTCCTTGCAAAAAAGACCCGTGCTCTTTCTTCATGATTGGACGGCGACGGTTTTGTCAGTTGAATGACGTGACGCAGCTGGCTCGGCAAGGAACACATGCAACGTCAGTAAGTATTGTATTCATAGAGTATATTTAGTAACTCTGAACACACACAAGATAGTTCATTTTATTACTCGCGAGCAGAGTGAGGTAATAAAGCGCTTCAAACGAAACAAAATGACAATTTATCAGTTGGCGTGCCCATTGCTAATATGCTACCTCTGGCTCGTGTAACTCGGAGCAAGGAGACAGATTACACGAGAAGCCATTGAAGTCACACTGGAGTTGATGTTCGTCTAGAAAGTCACCCTGCCAACAATTCCAAATGTAGGAGCCCAAGGAAAAGACATCATAATTGATCTGATTCCTGATCATATATATGGCACAATTTACTTCTATTCCCTTCGATGTCGATTCCTGATCATATATATGGCACAATTTACTTCTATTCCCTTCGATGTCTCTCTTCCAAGGTTCTTCCTTGTAGGATCCGTTAAGAAACGCAAGGAGGGCTGAGCTGTGTAATAATTACAGACACTCCCGATGGATTCTTCATGTTGATGTAAGATTCAAATTCCATGTTCTACATACACCAACTGGCCACAGCATTAGGTACCTCACAGCACTAATCAAACGAGATCTAGTACAGGAGATGCCTACAAAACTATTCGGTGTTGAATGGCGCTTACTGCGGTGAGTGCATCGTAACGAGAGGCGTTTCTAATAATTTGGATCCTCTCGTGTGTCTCAGAACAACCAATTTTGAACCTGTGAGATGCTTTTGGAGCTAAATTAGGTGACCAAAATACAGTGACAGCCCTACATTTGGTAACTGGGCCTTAATGGGGATGTAAATGACTTAATCCACCTCCGAATACCACCACTCTCATATTGGAGTTATAGAAACCATCAATGTTGTACAAAAATACTCAGAGAAAACCCACGCAGGCATGGGGAGAACATGCTAACTCCACACAGGAAGGCCGGAGCTGGGATCGAACCGACGACCTCTGCACTGGGAGGTTTACGCACTAACCACTCGATCACTGAGCCGCCCCTGCAATAAAGAACCACAAACATAAACACAGTTGTGTTCAGGCAGAGCTTTTGAATCTCATTAAATCACGGGTGTGTACTGTATAAAATGCTTGATGAATGTATGCACTCACATGTTCCTGTTGTGTCTCGTAGCCCAGGTTTTTTGAAGCTGAGTCGGCCGGTGGTGCGTTTGAGGAGACTGGCAGCTCAGCTGGGCAAAGTAGCGATGTCCACTGCCGCGGCTAATGGAGAGGCTCCTACTGCGGCCATCCTCATCATCGGGGATGAGATACTCAAGGTGAAGCTCCAGAGGAACAGAGGTTGGATCTTTTAGAATTGGCTTCCTGCAACGTTCCTAAAACTTGAAGACTACATTGTCCAGAGGTGGTAATGTGAGAATGTATGTGCACATTTAGCTGGCAACCAGTTCAGCATGTACCCAGTCAGCCGGGATAGTATCCATCTCATGTATGGCCTTCATGAAAAAGGATGGATGGATATTACCCTATTTGATCAGCGTTTTACAACTGAGAATCTGACAGCTGTTCTTGGATTTTAAATAATTCCCCATTAATTCTATTACAAGACATGATTGTGACACATCTTTGAAAGTCCAATGTCATAATGTCATGCCCCCATGTTTGAATTTGATCCAGCAAGACCATGAAGTCATCATTTAAGTCATGGTCTCTGACAGCCATCTTTGATCTTGTCTCTCTCAGGGCCACACGGTGGACACCAACAGTGCCTTCCTTACGCGAGCGTTGCGGAAGCTCGGCGTGTCCGTGCAGCGCATAACAGTCATCCCGGACGTCCAGGAGGTCATCGCCAAAGAAGTGGCTCTCCTTTCTTCCCAGCACACCCACCTCATCACTTCCGGAGGCATCGGGCCCACCCATGACGACGTCACCTTTGAGAGCGTTGCTATGGCCTTCCAGGAGGAGGTCTATCCCCACCCTGAGCTCTCACGGCTGGTGGAGGAATTCTTCGGGGTGGTGGACAAAGGCAGCCCGGCCATGAAGATGGCCATGGTGCCCAGATCAGCCAAACTCAACTTCGGAACAGATGCTCAGACAGGAAAACCTCTCCGCTATCCATTGGTGGGTGATCACTGAATGTTTTTTTTTGCATACTTGCCTCTGCTTGCCTGCGTTTGTCACAAAAAAAAAAAAAAAAAAAAAAACACATAAGAGGGACCTTGGAAAAAAATTGCATATTAAATCTCAATCGCAATGGTAGAAAAAAAAATCACAATTAGATTATTTTTCAAAATCGTTCAGCTCTAGAAGTAATACCAAATTGGACCGTTTTCTCATGGCTTGCAGCCATCGCGCCAATTTATTTCTACACTTGAGTGGTGTGTGTGCATCCACGGGCACATTAGTCGATGTGGAAAAATCGTCCCCGTGTAGCTTCATGACACATTTAACAATAATCAAATTATACAAGGTATTCTCTTAAGTGCCATACTGCAGACCACACTGATGTTGATCTTGTTCCCTCCATTAGAAAGGAAGTTAATAGACAGCACTCCTAAGCACACACATGCTTTGAATGTGTGTGAGTCAAAAGTGGTCATAAAAAAATGTTGCCTCTTTTGCTTACACTTCCATTTCTATCATTTCCAACTTCATGGTACATTTCCTGCGCTCTCCTATATTTCCCATGGAGAAAATCCTCAGAGCATCTAAAGTAAAAAACAAAACAAAAAAAAAAAGAAACCCTCATATATAGGTCGGTCTCCACCACTTGTATGCTTGTAGCCAATTGCGATGCAGCCTTGATCGATCACAAGCAATGCGACCAGCATGCAAAATCTGTGTGAACAGCAAACACACTTTTTTTTTCTTCGTTTCAACATATATTTTTTTTACGATTGAAGTTGAACCTTCCACAGTGAGAATAAAATCATCTTACCCCCAGCTTTGCATGCTTGTTGACAGAAATGCAGGTCGATGCTTCTTAAAATGACAGTGTCATATTTGTTTCAGGCCTCTAATTATATTCCAACCCAACATCACACCCAGCAATTTTTTAAAAACAATCTTGTGGTTGATGATGGAAACCACAAGTATAAAAAGATTTTTTTTAATTACAGCTAAAGCCATTATGCTTTGTTTTTTTCTTTTTTTTTTTGTTGTTGTTTTTTTTTTCCACAGGTGAGCGTGCGTAATGTATACATCTTCCCAGGAATCCCATCTCTAATGGAAAGAGCCTTTCATGGGTTGGAGCACCTCTTTGCGAGTTCAGGAACCACGTTTCACACTCGTGAGGTAAGCCTCATGATCATATCTGTTTCCAAATAATAATGTCTGTTCTATAAATTCGGATTTGTTTTTAGGTGTTTGTGGCTGAGGATGAGGCCGGGATTGCCCCCTTGCTCACCAAATTGCAGGCCTCCTGGGGCCACAAGGTGGCCCTCGGCTCTTACCCTGACTGGCTGAGCAACTACCACCGAGTCAGGCTGGTGCTGGACTCGGACAGCCAGGAGGAGGTGGACAAAGCTCGGGCGCAGCTGATCGAGGAGCTGCCTAAGGGAAGCGTGGTGCCTTTAGTGAAGGACCCGGTGTCCATCGCCACTGCTGAAGTGTACATGTTGGCCAACAGCGGTAAGAGAAATAAAGCAGCGGGCGGCACCAACCTTTTTTGTTGTTTTTTTTTTTTGTTTGTTTTTTTGTTTTTTTTGTTTGTTTTTACGTCATGGACCGGATTCACAGGAAGTAATATTTGAAGGAGGGCATCAAAACAAATGATTAAAAATGCAACTCATCATTACTTTCAATGTAGTTCTTGTGATTGTAGTGAGCCCTGCGTTTTTTTTCTGCAACACGCCCGTCCCTTCGTCAATCACAATGCCCAATTTCCTTTTGATTGTCAACCAAAATATTTTAAATGATTTTTACACATTATTTTAATAATAATAATTATTACTTTCCATGTGTCATATTAAACTGCAGTTTACTGCTACTTTGAACCTGCTTATCAACATTTCTAAGTAATGAGAGTAGTTGTATCTAATTTAAGATGCATATCAGGTTCAAGGTTCAAGGTTCAAGGTTCAACTTTATTGTCAAATATGCATACATTGACATGTAGCATGGATGAAATTTATTTCTCTCAATCCTCAGCAAACAGTGAAAGACAATGTAGTCTAAAACAGTATAAACATATAGACGATATATACAATAAAAGACGATATATACAATAAAAGCAGCATAAAACAATGGCACTTGAGGCTATTGAGGATAAAAGTGACGTAGTGCATTGTGCAATATGCAATATGCAGATGACGGATAATGAGGGGTTTGTTTTTTTGTTTTTTTTGTTTGTTTTTACGTCATGGACCGGATTCACAGGAAGTAATATTTGAAGGAGGGCATCAAAACAAATGATTAAAAATGCAACTCATCATTACTTTCAATGTAGTTCTTGTGATTGTAGTGAGCCCTGCGTTTTTTTTCTGCAACACGCCCGTCCCTTCGTCAATCACAATGCCCAATTTCCTTTTGATTGTCAACCAAAATATTTTAAATGATTTTTACACATTATTTTAATAATAATAATTATTACTTTCCATGTGTCATATTAAACTGCAGTTTACTGCTACTTTGAACCTGCTTATCAACATTTCTAAGTAATGAGAGTAGTTGTATCTAATTTAAGATGCATATCAGGTTCAAGGTTCAAGGTTCAAGGTTCAACTTTATTGTCAAATATGCATACATTGACATGTAGCATGGATGAAATTTATTTCTCTCAATCCTCAGCAAACAGTGAAAGACAATGTAGTCTAAAACAGTATAAACATATAGACGATATATACAATAAAAGACGATATATACAATAAAAGCAGCATAAAACAATGGCACTTGAGGCTATTGAGGATAAAAGTGACGTAGTGCATTGTGCAATATGCAATATGCAGATGACGGATAATGAGGGGAGGGTCATAGTCTGTGACAGGAGGCAGGGGTCGGGCAGAGGCAGAGGGTGGGGAGTTTGGGCAGAGCACGGAGGGAGTTGAGTCTCCTGACCGCCTGGTGGAAGAAACTGTCTTTGAGCCTGCTGGTTCTGGCACGGAGACTTTGCAATCTCCTTCCCGACGGCAGCAGGCTGAAGAGGCTGTGGGATGGGTGTGTGGGGTCGCCTGCGATCCGGATGGCATGGCGGGTCAGCCGGGAGTAGTAAATGTCCACGAGTGGGGGCAGAGAGACACCAATGATCTTCTCAGCTGTTCTCACGGTGCGCTGCAAGGTCTTTTGGCAGGACACAGTGCAAGCACCATACCACACAGTGATACAGCTGGACAGGATGCTCTCAATGGTGCCTGTATAAAATGTCTGCATGATGGGGGGCGGGAAAAGCATTGTATATTATATATGCATCGTAAGCAATGTATCAGGTTTTATACATTTTAAATAGAAGCTGATTTCTGTAGTCCTCCATGAAAGGAGAAAAGGAGACGGATTGTCTTTGCGTTGAATCAAAATAGGACACCTGCAAATATTTGCATTTACTTTGGAAAACAATTCTAAGCATTTTTACAAATTTTTCCCACACATTAGGGACCAAATCACTCACTGAATCATAATTAATGCTTGTTTTTTTGTTTTTTTTTTTCACTTTCAATTCGAAATGATGTTCTGTTTTTGAATCACAGTTGTTTTCTGTGATCCTCAATTAATTGAAAAAAAAATTGATGACAGATCATGATTAAAATAATTGAGTCATATCCTTAATTTTAAATAATCATGAAATGGTTTACGTTTTTATTTTAGCCTTTTTTTTTTTTGCATGACATGTTTACTTGTAAATTTTTTTAAATTGTAAACAAAGGCATGTAACTCGCCATTGGTGGGGGGACACCGTAAAGAAAGTCACTGGTCTGGCTCCGCAGACGTCTCATGGACTGGTACTGAAAGCTCACCCAAAGCATTTTAACTGAAACTAAATGAAAACCTCTGTTGAGATTGAAGGGGTGATAGCGAGAACATCGGTAATACAAAACGCACCGACATTTTTGAATAATCTCCCGCGGCGGGTATCCTTCCCTGCAGGCACACCGCTGGGCGAGAAAGTTACGTCCGCGCTCAAAACAGTCGAGGCGGCGCTGGATCAGTATTCCACGGAGGAAGTCTGCGTCGGCTTTAACGGCGGCAAGGACTGCACAGCGCTGTTGCATCTCTACTACGCGGCGCTGAAGAGGTAAAAGGAAAAAAAAAAGGAGCATCGAAACACTGAGCTGTAGACAAGACAAATGATCTGAGACGTGAGATGAAATGAGAATTCTGAAAGGAAAACATGACACCGGACACATTCCGGGAGATAGTGACGAGAAATCTGTGTCTTGTTATTGCTCTTATTTCTTTGATTTGATGTCCCATTTCTGCTCTCAGGCGCTACCCCGACAGTAAAGACAAGGTGAAAGCTCTTTACATTCGCATTGTCTCCCCATTCTCCGAAATGGAGCGGTTCCTTCAGGATACTATAAAAAGGTGAAGTCATCAATCTCCTCTCAAGTACTTCCATACACTGCATTCAAACTGACTACAGTGGTGAGGTCGACCGCAATCCATTCTGTGACTTGACTGAAAACATTTCCTCCTTGAGGTCAGTTATATTTGGAAGGATTGGTTCCAGATGAAAAAAACCTTGATTACGGCGTGTCCTCGGTTTAGGATGGCGCAGAAATACGACGTTTGAGGGGTTACGAATGGCGTACTGAACTACTTTCCAGACTTGCGTGCAGTGAGGGTACTTTATCATGAGGCTCAAGAAAGCACACTTATGCCGTATTTGCTCTTTTTCATTTGATTTTTAAAAAAAATAAATTATGGCCGAGGAGTGTTTCATACAAATATTTACAGCAAAATTTAGGATAGTGATAAATTACGCTGCGTTCCATTTTCAGATTACATCCCCTTCATGCTAATAAAACTGCAGTAAAGCGAGGGCCCGCTGTAAAGGTAATGTAACAGTTGAACATTATTTACTGTCATACAAGTAGAAGTTTAGCAGTATAATAAGAGTATGTTACAAATTTTCAAAGACTTTTAACTTTAATGACAAAAGTGCTGTCACACAAGAAAAAAAAAAATTAGCAGGGAATGTCAGGTAAAAACATCGGGCTATATTCTCACAAATGTGCATGTGTTTTGTTTGTTTTGTTTTTTTTAACACGCCAGGCATACACACCTTCAAGGTACGCCAATTATCCCATAATGACTTCTGACACACCCACCACGCTGAACCGGCTCAAGTGCGCGCAACAACCAAAGAGGGTTGACTCATTGAAAACTGACAGTGGCTGAAATTTCTGTCGAGTGGAGTTTTCCTAAGACATGTCAATGCCATCGAAATCCATTTGGAAAATATGTCACATTTTGAGTGTGAAAATAATTTTCATAGCTACGATGGAAGTTAATCATCACCTTATGACCGAACGCATCACGTATCGCTCATGTATGGAGCGGCGAGTACTCTGCAGCCTTCACCCGCGCTGTCCGAGCAGGAAACTAAATTAAAACAATGTTAGGCCGTCCTGAGAAGCTTAATGCTGTCCCTGATTTATCCAGAGTGCGTGACCGGTGGAAAGTGCGCAAGTGACGGAAGTGGATGGGAAAATGAGCGCATTTAGAAAAGCTTGCAAGCAGTGCCTTTTCTGATTTAAGCACACGGGAGAATACGTAAGACAGAAAACACTTTTGGCGGCAGAGTGGCTAGCGCAAGCAGCTAACATAGCAGTCTTCATTTTCACTCAGTGCCCCCTCTTGTCAAACAGCACAAGATCCAAATCACAATCCTTTTTTTTTTTTTTTTCACAAAAAATTGGGCAAGTTAACACGAGTAGGAACAAAACAAAACAAAAAATGACTTAGAAACCTACCAAAATACAACTACCAATACACTTCTGCTTGATCATTCACAGGACATCATGGAAAATTGAACAAAACTACTTGCTGTCTTTTTTTAAAATTTTTTTACTTCAAATGATTTATCTTATTACATGCCAACTTTTCAATGGGAAATACCTTCTTTTAACTACAGTCCTTGTTTCAATAAAATTTTCACAAAAAGCCTTTGACGGTGGCTTCAATAAATTGCGGTGTCCTGATGGCTCGCGTGGTGTCATGTTTTTACGATCACATTTTTTTTTGTTTTTTTTAGCTGAACAGTTCCACTTTCGGCACCACTGTTCAGAGGGATGCGGGTTTGAATCTCTACTCCACATACTCTGGCTTCCCCACACATCCCAAAAACAGTTTCGAGCCTCTGAGAATTAAATTGCTCATAGGTGAGAATGTGTATGTGACTGGTTACTTGGCTGGCCACCGGTTCAAGATGTACCCTGCCTCGAGCCCAAAGTCAGCTGAGATAAGCTCTAACTCGCCCGTGGCACAAATGAGAACAAACGCGACACTGTTTTTCCGATCTTGTGCAAACTAAACTTCTCAGTCACACTATCTGGCAACGCTCCTCCTTCAGATACGACCTGGATCTGTTTTCTGTGGAGGGCAGTATTCGGCAGGCGCTTAGCGAGGTGCAGGAAAGGAGGCCCGAGCTGAAAGCCGTCTTGATGGGAACCAGGAGGAGTGACCCTTACTCTCACACGCTAACCCCCATGTGTCCCACTGACCCTGACTGGCCGTCCTATATGAGAGTCAACCCTTTACTGGTCAGTGACACTCTTGTTTACATATCTTTCATTGGATGAAATTATACCTCGGTTTACTATGTTACTCTTTCAGTGCCAGCCAGTTAAAAAAAAAAAAAAGAAAAAAAAGACAGAGAGAACGTATTGCATGCCCGCCAATGTCGAGCATTCTGACTGATTTTTGACCTCCCAAGAATATTGATTTATATGTAAACATAGAAACTACTAGATAAAAGATATTGTCTTCTCTCATCACACAAAAATGTATTCAATTTTTTAATAAGCCACAGTAGAACATGAGTTGGGTTCACTCAAAAAAAATGCAGAAAACTATTTTTGGGTGAAAGCGCATATTTTATGCACAACAGTGACTTTGATGCTATTATTTTTTGCTTTAGTGATGCCTGAAACTGAATCGTCATTTTCCTCTTTAAAATACAAACAGCAACAATGAGAATATACTTTTGAATGTCAAAATAGTGCAATTACAAGTATCCCAGGTGTAACAATTTTACATTTCACAAACTGTTTGCACACTATTCTGTCGTAGTAGTATTTAGTAGTGTGTGTGCATGCATCATGCCATGCCTTTGTGTTTGTTTTTACTTGACGTAATAGTTTCTACTTCTAAATTTCAATCAACTCTGTCATGTTTTCTCTTTTCTGACACTCTTTGTCGCAGATTTAATGTGACAATCACAAGCTGCTTGTAAGAGTCGAATTTCCAGAGATTCGCCATGTTTGCGACATTGTTTTTGATAATGCTCTCTTTCAAAAGAGACCCAACGCTGCTATCTGCTGGCACTAGACAGTGTTTTTACTTTCCCATCCTAATGATCAAACCAGAGACTTTTCTGCCCCCAGTCACAGAAATAAAAAACCGTAGTTGACGCCAATTAGCATCACAGGTGCTCCTTGTTCGAGTTCCTGTTGACGACATTTCATGTGAACGGTGCTCAGAGTTAAAATTGTCAGTGTATCATTAAGAAAAGAAATTGAATGTTCTTATGCACAGAATGATACATCAGTTCTAATCCATTAAAATTGGACTTCTTTCAACACAGGACTGGACTTATCACGACATTTGGTCCTTTTTGAGGACGTTATACGTTCCCTACTGCATTCTTTATGATAAAGGGTAAGAACACACTCACCCTGCATCCATTGTCTCCTCCATTTAAAGTCCCATCTTTAACTGCATGATTTTTTTTTCCCCTACTACGGCGTAGGTACACGTCACTGGGCAGCATGGACAACACGTGTCGAAACGCGGCACTGCAGGTGGTCGATGGCAGAGGGGTAAAGCGCTACCAGCCAGCCTACCGATTAGAAAATGAAGAAGAGGAGCGGAACTCTCGTGTGTGACACTTTCTCGCATGGACGTATTTTATTTTTTATTTTTTACCCCATTCAGTAGATGAAATATCCGGAAAAGAAGACTGTGTTTGCGTAATTACGATTGTTTTTGTGTTACTGATCCATAAGCTTTTTCGCTGCTGAATAAAGCATCAATCAAGTCCTCTTTATCACTGGTCACGTGACTATTTCAACATACACTTCATTGATTTAGCATGAGTGTGAGACTGATTTGTCTCGCCATTCAATCCAATAATTTGCAGAGAGGGATGGCTGCCATCACTGTATAACTCCTGTCAAAAGACTCAAAACACATGGATGATGTTCAAATATCCCCCCCCCCCCAGACGCGTGCGTAACATTAAATGTGATAGAAACTGGCAACTACATCATCAAAACTCAAATTAAAGTCAAATAATGAGCAAGTACATCAAACTAAAATGTAAATGCAACACTCTTGCTCCCATTTTTTTTTTTTTAATGATTTGAGCGAAAGATCTTCAAATCACACTGTTTTGGGGGGGGTGGTTCTGTCTCATACAAATGCAGAATATGCCTATTGTGACTATGACAATTGAGGGTGGAACTCAGGCAAGCCGTTACTCAAGTGTTGCTATATTTAGAAATTTAGGACTCATGGCAACTTGTTATGAAAGAGACCATCAACAAATTTAGCAGCTCATTGTGGTGTTATCAGCAACATCCGAAGATCCTGTTAGTTCCACCCAGAACAGATGTTCACCACTCTCCATCCAGGCTGCAAATGACTGGGACGTGTGTGAAGCTGCCACTGGCTAATTTCACAAATCTGGGTCACACTTATTATGTAAATTAGTCCCACTGTTACATTACACAGTTCAGCACAGCTTTACTCCTGGACACATTTTCAGAAACTGGCAGATCAAGGATTTACTTGGTCGTTTAATTTCACTCTTGATGGGTGGCCAGAGTCTTTCAAGACTGAACTGTTTCTATACGAGTAATTAAAAACACGTCTCATGATACGTATACTTTAAGTAGTCTGCATAGTTGGGGATGGGGGGGGGCAGTATTATACATTAAATTACCACCTTAATAAATCACAGAGACAACAGAAAACTAACACTATCCATCCATTAATCAAATTTGTAAAAACCTAAATGAACCTATCATGCATATTTTGGGCATATGGAACATCTAACTGTGAAAAATTAATCCATTCTCTAATTTTATCCAGTTAGACTATTGCAGATCGCTCCAAAAAAAAAAAAAAAAATCACTTTCTCGCCTCCCGCTGATTTAGAATGCAGAAGGAAGCTACCAGTAAGCCTCGAACTGAATTAAATAGATGACATGTGTCACCTCAATTATCATCACTTTATTGGTTTGACGTTTCTTTTAGAATTGATTTAAAATTTTTTCTGACCTATTTGAAAGAAAATATGGCTCGGACTCTTTTCACCCAAAGCATCCTGGGTAAGGGTCTTGAAGTTGTTCCAAAGTCAGGGTTTAAATCTAAAGGTAGGAAATTGTCCATCAGAGCGCCTCGACCTTGGGACATCCTTTCCCAGGAGCTGAGATACCCGAAATTGGTGACGCCGTTTCAATCATTCACCGAGCGGTGAAGTGTGCTCGCACGTAGCCAATGTTTATGCATTGTCAGGTTTCGTCCAATGTTGCAAGAAGTCGCAAAGACGTTCGCAAGACTTTCCCAAACAGTTTAAATGGTTGCAAACAGTGCCGATCAAAATTTCTTTGCGACAAGAAGAACTGTTTGAGACCATTAAAATTCTCGGCAAACATCTTTGCGGCCTTTAACTCACTTTTAGACGCTAACTTTTTTTGTGATATCATCTTCTGACCCATCTATTTTTCAAAATGAAATTTAATATTGCATGTATTTGTTTTTGTGTATTAAAAGATATATATTTTGAACAACCGTTTCAATCATTCACTGAGCGGTGAAGTGTGCGCGCACGTAGCCAATGTTTATTTATTGTCAGGTTTCGTTCAATGTTGCAAGCAGTCGCAAAGACGTTCGCCAGACATTCCCAAACAGTGCCGATCAAAATTTCTTTGTGACAAGAAAAACTGTTTGAGACCATTTAAAATTCTCGGCAAACATCTTTGCGGCCTTTAACTCACTTTTAGACGCTCGCTTTTTTTGTGATGTCATCTTCTGACCCATCTATTTTTCATAATAAAATTTAATATTGCATGTACTTGTTTTTGTGTATTAAAAGATATATATTTTGAACATCGAACATGAGCTTATTTTGGGTGTATGCTTTTCACTCTGTCAAAGCCCATTGTAAACACAGTGCACACACACGCACACGCACACGCACACGAGCACGCACACAAACGCACACGCTGTGCTGACGACCTCGTACTTGTAATTCACGCGGCGGCCCTCACGGGCGCGTTGTCCTCACGTTTTCCATTTAGCACCGCTGATGACAATAAATTGGCTTGACTCACTCGAGACACGATTGAATCCAGGAGGATCGATCCGCTCTCTGTCGCGTGGCATGCTGGGATCGTATATATAAATTTTTTTCTGTAAACCTAATCCGAAATAAAGCCGTACACGCCAGCTAATCATACACAGCTTCGTGTTGCAAAAGTCGACTAGATTAACTCTAACACAACGCAAAATGCTAAAGACAAGCTAATGAATAGCATCTTAAAAATTTTAGAAGTATTTAAACGCTAATATGTACCCCAACCCTGAAGAGTAATGTTCACGCAAATAAAGCAGCGCATATACTGTACCTTTGGTGAAAAAGGAATCCGATTTTTGAGTTTCATTCAAATACAACACTTGTAGTGTAGACGCACTACAAGTGTTGTATTTGAATGAAACATAGTCCTTGTTCAGTAAAAGTTTCGGTTTTTGTATACTTGATCAAAATACAATATCATAATTGCAAAAATACAATGGTAATCTCGAATATTGTTAATCACGATCGGAGAGTTTTCAAATATAGTCGAAGTACTTGTAGTTGCACATTTGAAAAATCACAATGTCCCTAATATTCACACCGATGTTTTTTTTTTCCCCCCTGGGCAACAGTACGCATGAATAGCAGTTGAGCAAAGTCGACTTGGTTGTCTTTTGCCATTTACTTGCTTTTCATTGTAATCACAAGTCATTCCTTCCACGTTGTCAACTAAATCAACGGCATGTTTGTCCTGCCGTCTCACCTCCTGGGCTGCTTGGCCTCATTAGGCCTGATGCGTTTCAGCCCCATCAGCCTCGCCCTTCCCTTCTCCTTAGAGTCAGCGCACTCTTCTTGTCACCACTGCTTTCCCCCCGTCATTCACTTTAATTTCGCCTCCAGATCTCCAATCGTGGTTGTTATTGCTGGGCTTGGAAGAATCTCTCACATGCTCGTACTTGTGCTCTTTGGTCCGTTCGAGTGCTCGAAACACACCCGTAAATGAAAACAAATTTCAAAGTGATGTACTCTACAACCTTTCTCATTGTCACTTGGTCTCATTACTAACAATCAGGGTTATAATAGTTTTGGAATTAAAAAAATAAATAAATAAAAATACATATACCTGTATATAATTTTTACATTTGTAATTAGTTTTTATTAGTTTTAGTATTTGCTTTTTTATTTGTTTTATAGATAGGGTCAGCTATTCGTTGAAGTTTTTTAAAAATAATACTATTGGTCGAAATTTCCGTTAAGTTTCATACTTACGGTAGTAAGTTTGTTTGACTGTTTCCGCAAATCAGATTTTGCATTCTAATCGGTTGAACTAATCGGCAGCTACCACTATCTGATCTAAAACAGTAAGTCAGGAAAAGGCAACGGTTTTTCTTATTTTTCCTCTCATGACTACGCACACGTTTGACATGACTTAAATCAGCTTTACAAAGAAACCATTGCTGTCATTTTCTGTTTTAAAGCAACCGAAAGAAACAGTTGAGGTTTTCTGTTCCCTAAAAATCTGCAAGGTCTAACTTATTTTCAAGGCCCTCTGATTTAAAAAAAAAAAAAAAAAAAAGTAGAACCACCAAACCACGACTGTCTGTGTCTTATGTGTTGTGTTGTATTATTTTGCCATTTTATGTTAACTGTTCTTGGCACCCGCAGCGGCTCCTCTCTCTCCTGCGGTTGAGAGGAAAGTAATTTCATCTGTGCTGTATGTTGCACATGGAGCACATTTGACAATAAAGTTGACTTGAACTTGAACAACAACAACATCCATCATCGGAGACTTCCGCTTCGTGATGGTTTTGTTTTTTCTTTGGTGTTTTTGCGGAAAAGGAAAAGTGTGAAAATAAAAACTTGCTGCTGTGAACAATAGATCAATTAAATATTTACGAGATCCACATATTCACTTCACTTCCACTTATATTATCATCGACATTTCGTAATTTCGTAAGCCAGTGATTATAGTTCGACAAACACTTTCCAGCACACTTCTCATGTCAGTCTGGTATTGTGAAATTGTACTTTATTCTAGTTCTATTTTACACAAGTTAATTTGCCTTTCCTGTCACTTCGAAAGAACATCTTCGGTGCAGGTAATAACGGTTTTATGACGGTGACAGACTCAAGCCTGGAACAAATTATTGACTTTGAATTATTTCCCTTGGGGAAACTTTGAATCGATTGCGCACTTTTTTGCCAAATCTTGCACAGAAACGGCAATAAAACAAAAATATTGCTCAGCCGCCTGCTTGGGTGAGGTCATAACTGACTGTCAGACAGGTTTTACTTTGTGCATATTATTGCGGCGGAGAGCTCCACTGCATCGTAGTGAAAACGCTGTCCACATCAACTGAGTACATGCAGGAAAAGTGAAAATAGGCTTGAGTTGGAATGTTTTGCTAAAAACGGAGTGCAGAAGGACCTTGGCAGCCACGAAGATAAATGTGTTCAGATCCATTTTCATTCTATTGTACCATTCCTTCGCAAATGGTGGGACGGGACCTCCTGGGGGCGATACCAGTGGTGGGGCGCGCGTGTGACACGAGGGAACATTTTTTTCTCTTTTTTTTTTTTTTTTTATTTGGAGGAAGGTTGAAGGAACACGAAAAACGATTTTGATAGTTATTCTAAGTTGAGCTATATTTAGTCCATTTTGTTTGCCTGAATGTGTAATGAGATTTTTATTTTTTTTTTGTAAACGAGCAATTGAAATTTTGGAGCAATGTGGATCAAAGTTAGTGCACAAACTAATTTATACCAGCACAAGAAACAATTCCGAATGCAACAAACTGATGTATGGTAACTCAAGTAAGGTGGCTTAGTATTATTACTTTTTTCCTGAAAATTAGTCATTTTGGAGATGTGAGGATTATGCCCGTGAGTGTCGATATGCTGCACACAGGAGGTCGAGAGTAAAAGCGGACCCCCCACCAGTTGTGTTCCTTACAGTTGCATTTCCAACATGTTTTTTTTCATATACAGTCATACCTCAGTTTTCGACCATAATCCGTTCCAGAAGGCTGTTCGAAAAGCGATTTGTTTGAAATCCGAAACTATTTTATTCGCCCATGATTAGGGGCCTCCTACGACCTGGCGTCCACATGTGTGGACAAAAATGCATCCCTTGCAAAAGTTCGGGTCTGAGGAGGCTATGCAGAAATAACATAAAAACAGTCAGATTTGCGTAATTCACAACAAACACGTCTGCTCACAATGAACGGTACACGAGGAAGCATCATTTCCTCATGTAAGGAAGTCGAGAGAAGTCAAGTGGCGTATTTGGGTTTGCTCAGTTTGGTCGAAAAACGGTTTTCGGGCGTAACCCGAGTCGTAAAAATCTCATAAAACCGATTTGGTCAAGAACAGAGACATTGGAAAACCGAGATTTGACTGTATGAAAAATACCTCCATAACCACAGCAATCAGCATTATCTCTGCAAATTCAGCATGGTCGATCCAGATGTCTTGCACTGGATGTGTACCTACATGTACAGATATGCACGTACTGTATACGAACAACACATAAATCCTCGCTGCTCTCTCATGTCACACTGTTCCTTCTGATATAAACACAATGTGAACAACTGTGCGATAGGGACTCAGCATGACTCAGCAGGGTCTTTAGTTCACGGTGAAGCAGGTGTGTTTGTGTGCGAACTGGAAGCATGTGGCGAGCCTTGATAATGGAGCCAACTGAGCATACCAGACGCCGAAATGTGTTTTTCTCTAAAAAGGATCCACATCCCCGATCCAATTGCTCGGCAGCTCCTGCAGTGTAAAACGAGACTTGAAGGTGCATGACACAGCGATTCGGGCGACGGGTCCTTGACGAGGGCGACGTGGGGGACGGGGGGTTCTTTGAGGCGATGCAAATTGCCAGCCGGGCTGCATGTAGAATCAGTAGACCAGAACACGGACAATGGCGATGCTTGCTATCAAAATGTCACTTGCTGAAAGTGGAGGAATGAAAGGGAAAGCAGGAGGAGAAAGTGGGAGTCGGGGCATGTGTGACGGGTGCTGCTCAAGACTAAGACCTCCTCCTGCACAATCTATCAGAAATGGCCTTCAGATGGTGGTTTCGTGTTCGTGTCAATGCTGCAAAGCCTTTTAAAATGTCAAGATATTTGCTCTCACATTGTCACACAAAAAATATATATATAATTGTACGCAAGGAAAATATGAAACATTTTTCATGCTGTCAAAGAATCAAAGCTGAAAATGCAGAGGATTAAAAAAATGAAGCTGGTAGACAAGGAATACTAGAGAAACGTTTTTTACATTTCACCTTGGACATCTCAACTATTTTGGGAACATGACCTTTGATATCTTTTTTTTTTTGCTTGATATGAATATGACTTTAGCAGTGAAAGTAAACACTAATGTACTGATTTGAAATCAGCCATATGGGAACAAATGCCCCTGTTCATAAACCGCTTTAGAAGAATAAAAGCTAAAAATTAGAAGAAGAAATTCGAAGAAAAAAAAAAAGCTTTCTAACATATGATCAGACACGAATGTCTTTACCGTCAGATTTTGTGAAGCAGCCGTGGTTCATTTCCCAAGGTCATTCCTTTCGGCCTTGTTCTAAGATCTAATAGATTCCTCCTTTCCTCATGCGCCCAAATCTAAGTTGTATTTAAGCCTGGGCCACCGACAGGGATGAAAAAATATCCCCCTTGGTGGAGGTAATAAATGCCAGTGTGACATCAGGTCATCATCCAGTGACGGTTGCCCGGGTAACCGATGCACTGACGAGCTCACCAGAGGGTAGTTTCCTGCTTTGTCTCAATGCTCCACACTCCTCAGAGTGACATTGCCGGCCTGGTGAGTGAAAACAGCAAGTAGTGACACACATTGTTGGCCACCCGACCTTGCACTTCTACTCTGTATTGAATACAAATTGTGAACAAAAACACAAACAAACAAATAAAAAACAACAACTAAAAACTGCCGCATCTGTGAACAGCATGCACATGAAAGTCATCACTCTGTATTAAAGTAATATAAAGTAAAAATTGCGTGAATAAAATACAGTGGATCTACTGTCATCTTGTGTGTGCTACATTTCGGCGCAGATCATGGCTTCCAATTATTTTTATTATTATACAGTTTGCAAGTGAATCCTAATTCCGTATTAAATGTAAAAAACAGACTGGCAGAAAAAAAGATGAGCAGGTGGCTGCCACCTTGATTAACATTAACATAAAAACTTCACATAAAATTATATAAAAAAAAAAAAACAACTAAAAAAATAAAAAATTGATTTGGTGGGTGCAGATATCTACACAGTTTGCAGTTCTACAGTAAAACAATGTACTTTTAAACTCTACTTTTCTTTTAAACTGAAGTGCTTTATGTCACTCTGCTACTACGGTAAAGAAGTTGGTCTTTTAAAATCCGAGGGCAGTGAAACAGCTCGGAAGAGAAGTTAATCCTGAATTTTGAACAATTGAAAGGCATTTGGATGGTGTCTGTATAGTTTTAAACGCCCACACAGCTTTAGTCTTTTACTCTTCACTGCCCAAAGGGTCACATATTCAGTCTGCATCTCACCATGTGTAGCACTGAAACCACGCGCGCAATATAATGCAAGAAATGTCAAGCGGAGGAAAAGTTAGACCGCTTACTGTGTATCGCCATGACTCCTATTAGAAAACACCTGACAACACTGCGCACCACTGCTGTGTGTGCACATCTGACCACATTGTAGCTAGTGGAAGTTTTCGGCATCAACAATATGTGCTGAAAAAAAATGAGGCAGTACAACCTTAAAATATTGTAAATAAAACAAACAGGATAAACTTTTTTTTTCTTCAAAATTATAACGGTGCAGTAAACATTGGACAATGAATGGACCATATGTCATGATTTCGGGGCAGTCGCAACGTGACTCAAACATCAAAAATAAATACCTCGAATAACTGATAGAATTTGTGTTTGCCTTTATGTCAGCTACCAGGATACTTCCTGGTTCAAAACTAATAACGTAACTACCGTAAGTAACATTCCTGTGAATTTTGTGGACGGGGCTCTACCATTTGCCTTCTGTGACGAGGGGAACTAATACCCACTAGCTTGAAATCATAAGTAACTTACTAGCTAGTAACCACACAATAGCAAGCAACCTAGTAACAGTAAATTTAAAGTTTATAATTAGTTCGGAAACACACCAGTTAAATAGACAGCCAGCGAGTAACTAACTACTGTAGTTAGTAACCACACTTTGTAATTTACTTACAACTACACATACCTAACTGAATAAATTAGCTAATAAACAAACCCACAATCATCAAAACGAACTAATTAACTAAGAACCACAAACAGCAAGTCAGCTAGCATGTAAGCAAAACTAACTAGGGACCACAAATGAGCTAGTTACTTACTAGCACACATGCACACGCACACAGCTAAATAGCCAGCTTGCTACTAACCAAGAGCAACTACTGTACTGTCGTTAATAACCACACACAACAAGCCAGTTAACAAGTTAATAGTACACATACACAACTAAATAGCTGACTCGCTAGTAAAACTAATCAATGAGCTAGTGCTGGCACATTGTTAAAAAGTTAGATCGCAAATAAGCAAAATGCAAGGCAGATTTATTTATATTATGCTTTTCATATGGAAGGAGATGGAATGTGCTTCACATAATTAAAAGTATTAACAAATAAATGAACGACATTTAAAAGTAAATAAATAAACAATATAAGTAACTAGTGCTATATACACACGCACACACGTTCTGGCTGTTCAACTGTTCAAAACTATTGTGGGTTGACAAGTATAGCAAATAAAATGAAGGGGGTAGTAGGCTATCTTGATATGCTCCACCTTGGTTGTTGTACTAATCACATGAAAGCTTTCCCTGCGTGGAGGAGATACATTAATGCAGGCTGCTGGGATAACCGTTGAACAAAAGACCAGAAATCCTGTTAAAAGATTTTCTGAAGGAGTGTGTAATCCTTTTATTCATAGAAGGTCACTTCCTGCGGCACCTCACTCCTGTTCACCTTTCTTCAAACAGCTACCACCACGAGAGTCAACTACTACGTTCAGTCGACACTGCGCTCATGACATGCTACACTCTTCCCCTCAATTTTCAAGGCATACAAACAAGTCTTTGCTAATTGTAAAGTTTAGTTAAATAATTACAAAGTTCAATCCAGAGGAAGAAATTGACTCGATGGCAATGACAATTTTTTTTCTTCCCTTTAATAGTCTCTAGTTGTGATTAACAGCAGAAATGTACGCTTGAATATTCAACGGAGGCCCAATTAAAAGAGAAGGGAGAGGACCCGCTGTGTGGAAATTTAATGCACTATAATTAGCGAGAAGGCAGCGCAAGACTATCTGCCATTTAATGTGAAACTTGGGCACAAACTTCTTAACTACTTTTGGATTGTTTTGTTGTGTAGTATTTTCCTCATTTTGAAGCTTTACATACAGGAGAACAACTAGAGGAAAAGGAAAAAGAAAGAATTGTTGTGTGGGATAACATGCAGTGTGGGAAATAATTGGTTGATTCCCTGCTGAATTTGTAAGTTGGCTCACTCGCAATGAAATTAACAGTCTCCAGTTTTTCTGGTTTATTACGGAAATAGACAAAAGGCAGTCATAAAATTCATCCATAAAAACACACATTATAGAAGTTGTAAAACGTAGTGTTTTATTGAGTGTATTATTTGATCTGCACCAACTCAGCCAGAATTGTGACTCTACCGATTGGTTGGTGCCCATGTCACACGCAAATGTCAATCAACCAATTGCCAATACTCTTGATCTCAATTGATTATGTTTCGAAAGCACACAGAAATCAATTTCTTACTCACCACAACTAGTGAATGGTTCGTCTTGAAGAGAGCATCAGGGCGAGTTATGGCTTACAGCAGCTCTTCGCAAGCATTTTGCTCACCTTGGGAACGTGAAATGACCAACCCCAGAAAATAGGTGAGCCTTAATTGGTTGAGCAACTTTGTTTTTGTCAGGCTGTATTCAGTACAAATGCGAGATGCAGGTAGCCAGCTAGCTAGCTAGCTAGCCGGGGAGCTAGCCAGCCAGCTAGCTGGCTGGCTATGCAAATACCCTGAAAACACACCTTCCCTTTGGACAGTCTACAGGCATGGCCGCTTTCGAGTGCCTCATTGTTAGCCGTGAATGTGTGCACATCACGCTGGGAATGGTGAGATGCGTCCCCTACAACTGGAGACAAAGAACAGTGAATGTAGTAGTCTGTTGTCACTCATCACTTTAAAAGTCTACTTGGAATACATTCGAATAAAGTTACACACTTGCCCGCCTTCTGTTTCCAATACACCAAGTCCGTGACTAATGTCAAATGAAACAAAAACATGTGCTTTGGACATCAAGGTCAAGAATCCAAAACGGCTGACGACACGGCGGTGACAAACGTGTCATCACAGGCCATCATCAGGCATGAAATAGCAGCATTAGCCCTATTAGCCAGGAAATTGCCTCTCTGCCTTTTGGCCAGGAGTGTCTAAATTGCAGCCCATATAAATGGAAATGCATTTACAGCTTATTTGGAGGCTCACTTTTATATTTACAACAACATCTCCCTGAGTGGAGTCCCGTGATAAATACAGTGACTTGTTTATTGGCAATAAAGCTGGAGGGTCCATTAATAAAGGGAGTCTATTGGAAAGCCGAGGTTTATCAGGCCAGGGCTGGCCCGAGGATAAAAGACCCTCGGCTCAATACCTTAGCAGCTTACTTGCATTACAAGTGCCTTTTACACCGCAAGGTCACCTCGGGGCCTCAAACAATCCTCATTTCGAGGATTTTGTGTGTCCTACTGAGAAGGTATATGTGCCAGATGGTATTAACCACACATTATTTACACCAACGTTTCCAATTTTTATTTAGTCGCCACATGCGAATGAAAATAGTACAAGAAAAAAAAATAGGCTCAGATTGCAGTTGTCTCTTCACAGAAGAAGCTACGTTTTTCACTAAAATGTGAACGCCGAGGGAAATTAGAAACACACACATGCATACGTACACAAAAAGAAACAGGTAATTAAGCTGTATATTATGTTCTATATCAAAAATTTGATTAAAACAAAAAAAAGACAAAAAAATTGCATTAATGGGGATTTACAGTGTTTTGAAACGACAACATTGGTAAGTGCCAACAATGTAGTTTATAGAAAAAAATTGAAAAGAATTAAAAAGAATTAAAGCCCAAGGCAATAAAACATTCCAATATACACGTTAAAAAAAGTTTTTTTTCCATTTAATTTGACAATTGTACACGCAATATTATCATTATTATTTCACATTTACAATTTTAACAAATGGCACTTTAGCTAACAAACCAAAATCACAAATATGTTTCATTAAAAAAAAAGTAATTATCACAAAAAATGAAAACATCCAATTAATTTGGCTTGCAAAACTACATTGCGGCACACAACACATTTGTACAACAAAATAAGAAAAACGAAAATAACCAAATTTATCACTTATCTACGATATAAAACACTGATGGTGCGTAAAGAAACGCTTTTTTTTTTGTTTAGTTTTTTTTTTTTTAACACGATTAACAGAAAACTATGACGTTTTCACTAAAACAATACATCACGGGTATGTTGGCAGGGCTTATTAACCATATCAACCAAAATGGATCGGGAGTTTTTTTTCTTCAAAAAACAAAACAAAAAAAAAATAAAAAGAGAACTTGTTTCTAAAAAAGAAAAAAAAAATGAAAAAAAGAAAGGAGCGTGTATGCACATCATCTGCAGCGGTTCGCTTCAGTGGAGCACGACCAGCCCCAATGTTGTGTTTACCCACAATTCCCTTTGGCCTGCGTTTGCCCTGTGATCCATAGAGGGAGCACATGGCGGTGTGCCCGATCAAACGGGACAAAGCAGTCCAAGATCCACCTCTTCTTATCATCATCATTATTATTATTATTATGAAACACCACCATTGTAATCCGGTGGGCGGACAACCCAGTCCAATTCCAGTACAACCAGTTGGATCCCAATAGGGGGCGCAGTAGCCTTGCCTCATTTTTCCCGAATAGCTCATGTGTCCCCTGTCTTTTTTTTTAATTGATCAAATTGACAAATTTATAGAAAACAAATTCATTTAAGTGCCGAAAAGAAAATTGGGACACTTTGACAAACGATTACATTTTGCAGTTAGCTCAGTGAAATGCATTTCATCTGTCACTTAATCCTATCAACATGCTTGACATCTTTTTTGATACAAAATATAATTGCACACAAAAAATTAGAATTATTAATGAGTACAGTGTCAACAAAGGCTGACCAATATCTTTGTAAATGCGTCTATTTCATCTGATTTTCCTGAATTGGTTTTGAAAAATGATTCACCGCAAATAAAAGCATTTCATTTTTTTTTGTTTGTTTTTGTTCATCCAGCTATGCCGGCGGTACATCGCAATAGCGCAGGAACGAATAAAAATGTCACTTAATTGGTCTGAAAATGATTTCATAACTAAACACGTGTTTTGTTCATCTATCTTTGCCAGTGTCATATTATGACAGGCAGTGTACCGTACAGGAACTGGAGGAAATTATTAGTAGCATTGGGGAGTGGGGTACACTAAGTCCCTGAGTGAAAATGTGTGTGGTGCAACTGGATGTTTGTGTGTGGGCAATGACAAACATGTCTTCCGCAGTCTCCTTGCATGGACGGGCGAGGGGGGCGGGGGGTCACCGACTGTGCCCGAATGTTCCCCTCTCACTGGGAACAGGTGCGAGGAGGTCAGGTGGTCAGCAGGACGGTGAGGAGGATGAGGAGGATGAAGAGGAGCCGAAGCCAAGGCGCCCTCGACGGACAACCTCGACTCAGAGGTGATGTTGCTGAGAAGGGGACAAAAAAAACAAATGTCACTCGAGTGGGAACAGTGACACAATGAGGTATTCGTTTTGGTTTACAAAGATTGCAAAAAGGTTAACTTTGAGGCGCGGCGCACAGAATAGAGCCTGAGAGGCGAAATCATTACAAATTGAACATTTTAATTCAAGTGAAAATGTTGTTCAAAATAAACGTATTTAAAAATTGTAAACTAAGACCAAATTTTTTAAACACCAAATCGTACTTTTTCACAGGAATGGAACACCTGTCAAGAACCGAAGTTGTGTGTGTGTATTATATATATATATATATATATATATATATATTGTGTAAATATGACTATAATGAAAAGTTTTATTTTTGTGAGAAAATGTTAATGTTACAAGCAAACGGAACAAAGTTGGAAAATCACGAGAAAAGTGTCATCTTAAGACAATCAAGTTGCAATATTAGGAGAAAGGATAACTGAAAGGAAAACAATGAAGGTTTTTTTTCAAGAAAAAGAGAATTATTTTTAGGTTATAAGAAAATTTGTGTACTTCAAAAAGTCAAGTTAGAAAAATATTAAATGTTACTGAAGGGGGAATCACAAAAATATTTGTCTCATATTAGTTCACATTGTTGTAAAATTATGACTATTATTGTAATACTGTATTCTGACTTTATTTTCATAAACATACACAGCCCCCCTTTCATCCAAAAAAGATATTTTTCTTGTCATATTTTTCGTGTAATTTTAAATGCAAAAATCTGACTTCTCCCCCTCAGAAATGCAAACATTTTCCCTCATGTGATTTATTTCTTAATGCAATGTATGTATTTTTTTGTGATAATCAAAATTTTATCTAATTTTTTTTTCTGTTATCTTCTCCTACTTTGCTTATTTGCTTTGAATATTACTAATTTTTTCTTATGATATCATGACTAGATTCTTTTCTAATCACAAAAATATTTGTCTCATATTAGTTCACATTGTTGTAAAATTATGACTATTATTGTAATACTGTATTCTGACTTTATTTTCATAAACATACACAGCCCCCCTTTCATCCAAAAAAGATATTTTTCTTGTCATATTTTTCGTGTAATTTTAAATGCAAAAATCTGACTTCTCCCCGTCAGAAATGCAAACAGTTTCCCTCATGTGATTTATTTCTTAATGCAATGTATGTATTTTTTTTGTGATAATCAAAATTTTATCAAATTTTTTTTCTGTTATCGTCTCCTACTTTGCTTATTTGCTGTAAATATTACTCATTTTTTCTTATGATATCATGACTAGATTCTTTTCTCATGTTACAAATATTTTCTAAAATGAGTGAATTTCTTTGGAAGTTTTCGAATGTTTGTTCTAATTTGTCGTCATGTATTTTTTTTTTAAATTGTCAATACTTCTTTTTAAAAATATCTTGGAATATGCCTTTTGTCAAAATTAGGCATTTTTTTTGGAAGCAACTCAACTTGTGAAAGCGCTATACAAATTGTGATAATCAAAATTTTATCAAATTTTTTTTCTGTTATCGTCTCCTACTTTGCTTATTTGCTGTAAATATTACTCATTTTTTCTTATGATATCATGACTAGATTCTTTTCTCATGTTACAAATATTTTCTAAAATGAGTGAATTTCTTTGGAAGTTTTCGAATGTTTGTTCTAATTTGTCGTCATGTATTTTTTTTTTAAATTGTCAATACTTCTTTTTAAAAATATCTTGGAATATGCCTTTTGTCAAAATTAGGCATTTTTTTTGGAAGCAACTCAACTTGTGAAAGCGCTATACAAATAAAGATGTATTGTATGATATTAATTCTCATGCATGTTTATTTCTTTTCCTACAAAATGTTCAGATTATTCTGTAAAATATCAGAAATGTCTTGAAAAGTTTCTTTTTTTCCCCTTGAATATTAGATTTGATGATTGCTCATGTTTTTTTTTTCTCCATTTAGTCCTTATCATAGGCCTACATTATTTCTTAGTGAATTTCTTTGGAAATTTTCTAATTTTGTCGTCATGTATTTTTTTTTCAAATCGTCAATACTTCTTTTTAAAAAAATCTTGGAATATGCCTTTTGTCAAAATTAGGCATTTTTTTTGGAAGCAACTCAACTTGTGAAAGCGCTATACAAATAAAGATGTATTGTATGATATTAATTCTCATGCATGTTTATTTCTTTTCCTACAAAATGTTCAGATTATTCTGTAAAATATCAGAAATGTCTTGAAAAGTTTCTTTTTTTCCCCTTGAATATTAGATTTGATGATTGCTCATGTTTTTTTTTTCTCCATTTAGTCCTTATCATAGGCCTACATTATTTCTAAAATGTATGAACTTCTGTTTTCTGACTTCCTGTTTTATTCTACAATAGCAGGTATTCTTTCAAAGCTTTCTCTTGCAATATCACTAGATTCTCATTCAAGTATGTATTTTTTCCTTCGAAAATTATGGCTTCGCTCCCATGAATGAATGCATTTTCCCTCTCCGTGTTGTAACGATTCTCAAAACTTTTCATTATTCATTACGACATAGTTCAACTTATTATTTTTTCCAATTCTACGAGTGCTGAAAACCGGTGAAGAACCTCACCTTGTGTTTGTTTGGAGCCCTTGGATGCTGAATGTCTTGAAAAGTTTCTTCTTCTTCCCTTTGAATATTAGATTTGATAATTGCTCGTGTTTTTTTTCCATTTAGTCCTTATCATAGGCCTACATTATTTCTAAAATGTATGAACTTCTGTTTTCTCTTGCAATATCACTAGATTCTCATTCAAGTATGTATTTTTTCCTTCGAAAATTATGGCTTCGCTCCCATGAATGAATGCATTTTCCCTCTCCATGTTATAACGATTCTCAAAACTTTTCATTATTCATTACGACATAGTTCAACTTATTATTTTTTCCAATTCTACGAGTGCTGAAAACCGGTGAAGAACCTCACCTTGTGTTTGTTTGGAGCCCTTGGATGCTGTGAGAGTGGAAACGGAAAGAGAAAAACTTTAGAAAGAAGTTGCTGATTCATCATGTTTTCATGCTTAACGCTGCCCCCCCAAATAATTCTAGTGTAGCTGGTAGAAGTAAAAACAGCAAGAGGCAGATAAATGAGCAGAGGGATACATTTATCTTTTGTTAAAACCTTAAGCCATTCTCAGCAAATTCTCTTAAAGGTCGGGAAGAAAGGAAGGAGAAACAACAGGAAAAGAAGTGTTATGGAAATTAGAGAGCGTTACAGTGATGGGGATTATATCCAGACAGAGAGGATACAGGAAATGAAAAGGGAGGGAAAAAAAAAAAAACAAGCGAAAATTCAAAATGACAGAGCAAGTCCAAGAAGTGGACAGAGCTTGAAAGTGCGAGCGAGGGCGGAAGAAAAGAAGTTTTGGAAGGTCAGACGGAGAGAAAAGGAGATGGAACCTGGGAAGGCGAGCGGGAGATCGGACGTTAAGAGTCTAGCCGACACTTTGTCAGCGGGGTGGGTGAGAGGGGGGGCGCTAAAAAGAAATTACGGAAGCATGCTGTTGTTTGGAAGGAGGCATTTGAAACATTTTTGTGTCGGCTTGAGAGGACACATGAACATCGAAAATGCATGCAGACAAAATGTCCCCATAAACACATTAAAATTTGGCATATCAAGGGTTGTGCCATGCAAACATAGAAAGATTTTCTCGTGTGGATCAGCCAGTATGTCCCCACAAACACAAGTGTCCGCAAAATTCAGGGATGTAAAAGGTAGTGCCACACAAAGATACAAAGACAAAAACAATGACATATTCAGTGTCAAGGGTTGCGCTTCACAAATGTTGGAAGGGAACAACAAAAACACATCCAGCAAAAGTTGGTAATTTAAAAATGATTATTATTTAAAAAAAAAAAAAAATATTATTTAAAAAATAATAATAATCACACACACATACACACAAATGGGATATCAAAGGTGGCTGCATACAGAGTTAATAGGTCAAAGGTTGTGCCAGACAAATACAGCCAGATACAGTGGAAAAGTCAAGAGTGGGTCAGCACAAATACAGAAAACAAGAACACACACACACTTTCTATATATGTACGTACACACATATATACATATATACATATAACACACACACACACACACACACACACACACACACACACACACACACACACACACACACACTAAAAATTATACCATAACCTAATCGTGTGTGCTTGTGTATATTTGTGTGTAAACCTGTTTTTCTGTAAATGTGTGGACCTACTCATAACAACCCAAAGTTTTACGTGTGGCTGGGTTCGTGTGTCCATGCCTTTTATATTTGTGTGGCCCCAGCCTTAACACTGCTCGTGTGTATGCGTGTATAATAACGGTAGGGCTTTGATCTTAACCATGTAAGCACTTTGTGTTGTACTTGTTTGTCTGAAAAACATGTGATCGTTAAAAGTTTGATTGAGTGTTTAAATAAACGGTGGGATCTGGTGTGGTCCTATCTCAAGACAGAAAGCCAAGAACACATAGACAGAGAGTCCATAGGACATGATTTGATTGTTTTTTTTTTTTTTTTTTAATCTGTGTTTTGAAATGGAAAGCACTTTGTGTTGTAATTTGTTTTGTATGTCAATATAAATAAAAGTGATTTTAAGGGTGATTCCATCCAAAAATCGAAAGACAAGAACATTCCCACGCACATACTTAAAGGACGATGTTAACATTGCTTGCCACACGAACATGCAAAGATGCACACATTTGAATTTGGAAAGTTAAGGGTGGTGCCACACATATGGAAAAACACATGAACACAGGTTTGTGACACATTATAGATTAATAGAAAAAGAAGAACACACAAATGCACACACACACAAAAAAAGGTGGGATCTCAAGCAGCACAAAAGACACACACACACACACACACACACACACACACACACACACACACACACACACACACACACACACAACACACACACACACACACACACACACACACACAGACAGTGTGCACTACCGTGACGTTTTTATCCACAAAATAGTGCCACCTGTCCGTGCCCCCGGCGACTGAGCTGATGAGGCCAAGTAACGCATTGTGTTTCTTCATTAATCGTACAATGTCTGTATTAGGTAGGTGTGTGTGTGTGCGTGTGCGTGTGTGTGTGTGTGTGTGTGTGTGTGTGTAAGAAACCTGCAAGCATCGTCTGTCGCTCAAAATTACTCCACTGATTGTCTACAACTAACGGCCACCTTGGGGTTAACGAGGCATTAAATAGCATGCTGGGACTTGGCCTGGTGCGCTGTGTGTGTGTGAGGCTGTGTGTGTCTGAGATAAATCATATTTTAAAAAAAAAAAAAGAAAAAGGAAAAACACGACTGAAGCATCTTATTGAAAACCGCACTTCTTGTACGCACTTGATTATATTTATTGTGGTGCAAAGAACGGACAGTAACGACTAGTTATGTGAAAAAGCCGAATTAAAAGGTCTTTTTTTCTTGTAAAGAAAACCATGTTCATAGGGAGAGAAATAACCAACATGGAAGCGAGAATGAATAAAGGTCATGTTATTAATAGAAAAACATCACAAAACTAATCTGAAATGATGAACATTACGAAAAACGTAAGTTAAACGTCAACACTGACACAACATAGCTCGCTATAACGCAGTAGAAACGTGATTTCTTTTCGCCAATCATCTGGCGGAAACAATAAAAAAATAAAATAAAACAAGCAAAGATTAAAAAAAGAGTCGACTTATGAAGATTACATTACAACAACGATATATTTCACTAAAAAAAAAAACAAAATATTAAAGTAAATTGCTGGATAACAAAATAAAATCCATTCACAACATTGGTATGAAATATATATGTATCAATAAGTGAATGTAAAATAAAAACAGATTGATCCTGAAAATATATTTATCGAACAATAATAAAAATACTTGTAATTATAATATCATGATGAAAAAGTAATGTACAATATAAATAACAATTATGATGCACAACAATGAGGCTGAAAGGATCTTTTTGGTTTTTTTAATAAAAAGTATTTCAACGAGTGCCCTACAAACTGTGCAGCAGTTACAGAGAGCCGAATACAGCTAATAAAATCTACTTCACGGTTAAATATAAATTCAGATTCTCCAAAAAATATATTTTTTAAGAAACATTTACCAGTCTAAAAGCATTTTTACACATGTGCGACACGACAAGGCGTGCGTTGCAAACCAATTGGTAAAAATATCTTGTGTTTACACGCACGTGCGTGACACGCGTGTTTTGACCTGACTTTAATTGTGGAAAAAAAAAAGTGCTCGCTCACAATAGCGGAGGCGGCGAGCCTCACCACAAAATGGCGACGGCGGCGATGGCATCCCTGCTCCTTTTTCCGCACTGCAGTCTGGAACGTGCAGCACAACCGTGTCTAAATGTGCACGTGTGTGTGTGTGTGTGTGTGTGTGTGTGTGTGTGTGTGTGTGTGTGTGTGTGTGTGTGTGTGTGCGTGCGTAAAAGCACGATGCTGCACTGTTCCCCCATTTCCAGCTCAGAGTACGCCGCCATTTTACAAACGTGGCAGCTAATGCTAACCCACCATGCTTAGCGCTGTATTAAAAAAAAAAAAAAATCAAACAAAATCTTAAGAACTCGACAAATTTAATACGAAAAAAAAAGCTGCTTGCGTTTCAGTGTTGGGTTTTGGAGATTCGGCAAAGCTGGGTTGGTACATTTGTGTTTGTGTGTGTGTGTGTGTGTGTGTGTGTGTGTGTGTGTTTCCAGTTCAGAGGGTTCAAAGGTATTCGGCCATGATAAGAAGAGGGCGGTTTTATTTGGTGGGGTGAAAGGAAGGCAGCAATGTAAGACATTCCCACCGCCGTCTCCCCCCCAAAAAAAGGCTGTGCAAAGTGAAAAAGACGGGGCTCACGGCGGGAGAATGACAAGAAAAGAAGGGAGGAGATTGCGAAAGAGAAAAGGAATCAATTAGAGCAAAAGGGAAGTCGCTCCTTAATGGCTTCTCGCAGCAGGAAGGCGGCGAAACAAAACGGGAGCAGTTTTTAGGGGAGAAGTTCACGGCGAAAGAAGAAGGTGAGTGGGGAGGAAAAAGTGCGCTGTCTATTGGGCGGCTCGTTGGCTGATGCAACGCTAGCTCAAGTGCCTTCTCTGACTTAATTCGTACCAGTCGTGATGTGGGGAGGGGAAAGAAAAAAAAAAAAAGACAAAATCTCACCAGAAACTCTACCGAAAGGCTGCATTTACACCACAAGTGACAATCCCGACATGTCGTGGCAAAAGGCGTCATAGTGGATGTGAATAGATTCTGCTAATGCGATCAAAACAAGCAGATGCATGAAATAAAGTCAATCAGAACTCCAGTCAGGGAGCCGCGCGAGATAAAAGGGAACATGTTGCTCAAAATGGACTTTCTGTGGAGATTCTCAGTCGTCCAGATGGTGGTAAGTTGCGAATGTTGGATCCAGGCAAATGGACTTTCACCTCTCATTTGAAAGGCTTTGCAGTTGTATTTTTTTTTTTTAAGTCAACGCCAAAACTTTCTTGACGATGTTAAGTTCTATGCAGCCTGAACACGGCATTTTGATTGATATTGCGTTCGTGGAATATGAATTAAGCGGTAAAACACACCTGTTTTTTTTTTTTGTCCATCTAAGGGGGCGGCCATTTTGACACATGCTGTCGACTGAAAATGACATCACAGTTGCTCAGGTAACAACCGATCATGGCTCAGCTTCAGAAAACAGCAAAAAGTAAATATGATTATAGTGAAATTGTCCTTTGTTTTCAGCGTTGTCATGAGTTTTTGGGGTTCATTTTAAATACAATTATTTTGATATTACTGTACATCCGTGGCTACGGAAGAAGGAGGGTCAGACATTTGAGAATTGCAGTTTACTCCATTACATAATATTTATGACTTATTTTTTTTTATTTTGCAGTTGACAAATACTCCATATATATAAAAAAAACAAAAAACAAACTAGAAATAATCAAAACTAAACCAAAACATGTTTGACACAATTTGAAAAGGTAGTACAAAATAAACAGTAAAAACTCATTACAAATAATTTGAAAAAGCCCAATCTTCAAAACCATGCATGATGTTGATTTTAAACGTAAAAAAAACATTTAACCACAACCCTAACCATTTTACGGGTTATTTTGCTTTTTATGATATGTAACAATTTTCGTTATCCTTTCTCATTCTTTTGAATCAGTAGCTGTGTCCAAACTTTAACTGGTCAGGATTTAGACCTACTCCTTTAAATACACATCACGAGTATTCAGCGCTAGAGGATGGCGGCAATTAACATCGCTTCACACGCCCACGTACGTCATTAAGAGCCTCCTGCATCAATCGTGTCCACTCTGTTGTGTGTTTTGGGGTTAAATTAAGTCCATAAACACACAGGCGTGAGCACTGGAGAGAATAGAGACTGCTGAGTGACCTTGGAGCAATGTCACCGTGGCTGCCCTTCAAACCAGCAAGTGTGTCGGTGTGTGTGTAAGAAAGAGAGCGAGAGATGATTGCCCACAACAGAGCATCCCTGCATGGAATTGTCTGTTAATCAGGGGGGCAGAAAAAAAGAAGAAGAAAAAAAAAATAGTTTCAGGGGAGTTGGAGGACAAGTGAGAGTGTTACTAGGTGAGACACACACACACACACCCAACAAGGAAGGAGCCAGGAGGGAGAATTTGAGCTGGGAACATTATTACCACACCACCTAATGAACATCAAGAGACCCTCCAACTCTCCTTGCCCCCCACTCATCCGTCTTTCACACTCCTCTCTCTTTCGTGTCGTACTACTGAATATTCTCTCCATCGCCACACAGCACGGCACGGACCAAGCACGGCATCCCAACAGGGAGGGAAGTGGCTCAAGGAGGGCGGAGTCGGTAGGAACTCCGGCGTGGACAGGCGGCGCCCAGATTAGTTTTGCTTGGCTAGCGAGAGATCATAAAACGAGGCGTGATGGAGGAGAGGCGAAGATGGCGCAGGAGACAGAGGGAAGGGGAGGATTAGTGCCACTTGAGCAACGACAGACGAGCGGAGGAGAGAGAAAGAAAAGGAGATGGGAAGCGGCAAATTTAGTCAGGATTAGTTTTGGTTAAGGCACAGGATGAGAGCAAGATGGGGCGGGGGGGAGAAAAGTGGGAGAATCACTTCAAGTTTGTGTGATCCGACGCAAACTAAATGGACGTTTCACTATGTACACCTAAGAAAATCCAATCCAGCATCAGAATCACGACACGAGTTGATCCCATGTCAGAGTGCATTCAGAAAATATTAATAGGTAAAGACGCAAAAATTAAAAAAAAAAAAAAATGAATATAGACCTAAAATACATTAGACATAAATTGAAATTAAAATAAAACCTCAGAATTTAAATGAATTTAAAAATGTTTTTTAGCGAAGCAAAACTAATGTCAGAAATGTACATTTAACACTTTGGGGGTTTTATTATGACTGTACTTGTGTACTTTAAAATGACAAGTAAACGAGGTATTCAAAATGGAAACAGCTCTTATGGTCAACTACAAGCACAGAAAAGGCTGAATATTGAGCTCTTGTATCATCACGAGCCTTTCACTGAGCATTTGATTCTGTCTCGACAGGCTCACAAGACACATCGTTCATACTAATGAATAAAGAGCAGGTTCATGAATATAACAAACATTTGTTATTAATTTTTTTACTAATAAACACCCACGACAAACATCAGGAGACGATTCCAGGCCTCCTCTTTACTCCCCCCCACTTTAATTACGAGTAATACAGATTTTGTGAACTTTGACCCCAGAGCCCTTGGCCAAGCCTGAGATGAGGAGCCCCCTGCAGATAGCACTGGGATGGGAACTGGGACAGACGTCTCGCACACACACACACACACACACACACACACACACACGAACAAGTGGCACAAGGATTCCCACAGCAAGACCCAGGCAAAGGGGCAGCTCAGTGGACTGGAAGACTAACATTACTCCAGGCGGGCTCTGGATTAGATCACGTCTGGGAATTTCACGCTGCGTGACGGAGAGCAGGGGAATGACGGTGACAGTCGATGCAGGAGGGCACATGATTTAAAAATAAAATCAAATATTTTATATAGTATGACAATATTAAGGATTTTTAGCTGTTGTGGGTGTATGGAATGTATTCCCATGACATTTTTTTTAATTTGGAAAAATAGCACTCAGCAGTATTGTATTAATAAAACTTAACACAATGAAATAGAATGTATCATGAATTAATGCCCATTGGCACTGGGCTCCTTCTGCTGTGCAGTTTTTTAATACTGATAATGACAATCAACGAGTTTCACAAGTGCCTCAGTAAGATGCAGAATGCAGGAGTGCACATGAATTAAAAATAAAATCAAATATTTTATATCGTATGACAATATCAAGGATTTTTAGCTTTTGTGGGTGATGGAATGTATTCCCATGACATTTTTTTTAATTTGGAAAAATAGCACTCGGCAGTATTGTATTAATAAAACTTAATAACACAATGAAATAGAATGTATCATGAATTAATGCCCATTGGCACTGGGCTCCTTCTGCTGTGCAGTTTTTTAATACTGATAATGACAATCAACGAGTTTCACAAGTGCCTCAGTAAGATGCAGTAATATTAAACGCAGAGGATACATTGATGCCAGTGATTATTGTTATACTGTCTACTTTGTGTTGCTGCACCATTTGTGTTTGACTCAATTGCTTAAAGGGTTATTAAGGCTGCAACTCATTTGCAAGTTTTGTTGGCATATCTATGGTGTTTTGTGTTGTTTGTTTGCCTTAAGGTAACTGGACTTTCCTAAAGGCAAAGCTACAGTATGAAATTGTTTTTTAATGTAGGATGTTAAAGTGTTAGTGTGAAGCAACTGAACTCTCCTAAGATATGGTTTGGTGAAATACACAACGTAATTATCTTTGTGATGTTTTTTAAGGCTGCAACTCATTTGCAAGTTTTGTTGGCATATCTATGGTGTTTTGTGTTGTTTGTTTGCCTTAAGGTAACTGGACTTTCCTAAAGGCAAAGCTACAGTATGAAATTGTTTTTTAATGTAGGATGTTAAAGTGTTAGTGTGAAGCAACTGAACTCTCCTAAGATATGGTTTGGTGAAATACACAACGTAATTATCTTTGTGATGTTTTTAAAGTTTAATTCAGAATGGCAATAGGCAGCCTGACATTTTTGCTTGCAGGTCAAAGGCAATCAGCCGAAAACTCTCAAGTCGCATCACTTCTCAGTCGAGGGATCCCTGAATTTAAATGATGAAAAAGGGCATGAGGAAATGAAACAGTCGGAGTGGTAATGGGGAAATGAGGGCAACAGTTGCATGAAAAAGAGCCCTGATAGTAGAAATATGAAAGGCCGAGGTGGCGGTAAAGGAGGGGAGGAGGGAGAGGCGGTTCACAGGGAGCGAAATGACGATGGAAGACGGGGAGCTGATGAAAAGAGGCGCGCACTCACCGGTCTCGCAGCACACGGTGACGCGCAGCTTCATACACGGCAGCGGTGGGCCTTCGTCTGCACGCAGAGCTGAGCCACAACAAGGAAGGACAGAGAAGGACTTCAGTGCAAGGTGCTAATGAAAATTCCCCGCCGGCCTTGAACGCATCACACGAGAGAGTATGAGGACGATCCTAATTTTTGGATCGGGACCACCAGTCAGCTGCACTTTATTTATGTCACTAAATCACGCGTTCTTTAGTTAGCCATGATGATTTTACAGCTAAATGCAAATCTTTTGAAATCCATCACATGAGTGATTCCCCCCCACCCCACCCCCAAGCGCTCACGTTCATCTTTAAAAGTGAAGC